ACAAGGAAGACAAGGAGTTGTGAAGGTTAACATATCAAGGAAAGCAACAAAGAAAGGGTGTCCCCTACAGAGCACATTCTGGGGAAGCAACTAGAGAATTGATACTGCATAGCCCAAGGAGAAAAGGGTGAAGGGAGGAAGGACAAAGTTGAAACTAATTCTCAACCTATTTCAGCAGAGGTGGCAGCCAGCACCTGAACAGCTCAGCTTGCCAATGAGGAACAGAGACTGAAAAACAAGAACTTGTAACAGAATGAAGATACACCAACACAGCTGGGAGGCAGGTACCTCACACTTAATTGCTTTAACTTACACAGAGGATGGGGCAAGAAACAGAACAAGCAAAGAATAAAAACAAAAGAATGTGTCAGACAAACATGCTGGTAGTAAAGAAACCCATTACTAGAGTTCCAGGGAAAGACAAAGACCTTGCCCCCAGCACTAACATACTTGCAGAGGATAAGAAATAAAGCACAGCTGTATTCGATCAGGAACAGCCCCAGCAACACTTCTTGCAGAGATCCTTCTGCACCCCCAGAGCTACCTCTGCTCACCCATGTCATTCAGCACTGGGTTGACCATACTGACAAAGCTTTAGCACCAAAACCCCAATGTAAGGTCTTCCAGCTGCTCACAGATTGAGCCAAGATGTTGTGTGCTATCAAGATAACAGTGGCCAGTTAGTACTGACCTGGTATTTGGAAACACAAGGAATAAAAGTCTTACAAGGCTATCGGTAATACTTTCTTGCAATCGTTAAGCTTGCTGCAAGCTAAGGTTCAGTAGTTCCCATCCATATATTAATGCCTTATTCAGATCAGCCAATGACTGCACCGAGATTTATTTCAATTAATTCAGTTCATTATACTAATACCTAGCTACTTAACTGCTTCTGTTGTCAATTGGAAATCCCTTGGGTTTAAGTTATTGCTCAGAAAGAGTAAACTTCATTAGTCTTTCCAAGCCCTGTTATTTGCACTGGCAAAGCATACTCCACCACTGCAGAACTGAGCAGCATTAGCTACTTGTACTGTGTAATTATTTAGATGATATGTACCACCAAAGGCAGCAAGAGCTCCCAGAGAACAGCAAGAGCACAAAGCCCAAGGATCACAGTGGATAACATGCAGAGGGCCACATGCCATGAACCTGGGCAGATCTGACCAACAACACACCCACCCAGCCCCACACTTAGGAATTCTGCCCCATCTCACGTTACACAGCCACTGGGGTTCAGGTACACCTTCTCAACTCTTGACTTCTACCCTTGGACGGGCTTGCTCATCCCAGCATTCGCTTCTGATGACACCCAGAGCACACCCTGCTCAATTCATCCAAAATGTATTATTTCAGGCCACACATGAGGTTCAGAAGAATCGCCTGAGAAATCCTGTGTTCTCATACTGTTAAGCAGCAAGGGTGAGTTCAGATGCAGGCATCACCACCTGAGTCCCTTTTTTGCAAGCTATCTTGTCATCAGAAATACAAACAATCTGTTAGGAATCAACAAGTTGTGGGTTTGTTTTTTTTTTTTTGTACAAGCAGCGGTCAGAGATTCAGTGCTCCTTTCAAAAGGTAATCAAGCAGCATTAGGACATTCACACACAGCTCCATGCAGAGGACAAGAACTACAAACTCTGTTCATTACTACTCTTCCTCTAATACTGCATCCTCCTACATAGCTAGTCCAAGAAGCGTAACATTTTCAACAGCTTCTTGATTTAGTCTATATCTTCATGCTTTAACTTTAAAAAAAAAAGATTTAAGGAAAGCAACAAGAGTGAGACGTCCCACAGAAGTGTCATCTTAAAAGAAAATGTCACTGACAGCCTGCAGAAGGCTATCACTTAGTGCCTTCCTCACTCAGAGAGTAACTAAGCATCCCAGCTGTGTCACCCACCGAAGGGACATCAAATCTTTGTGATGCTAGGAGAGCTACACTTGGGAAGCACTGGACTCCACAGCACCCAACTGTGCAGCACAGCAAGGTTTCCCCTACCAACAGAAGGGCAGTTGCTCAGCTGAAGGAAAACAAACACTGTATGATTGGTACAGCAAACCTACTGCCCCAGCAGAACTGGTTACACAGACAGCCCTAACCTGGCTCCCAGTATTTAATAAATCAGAATAATTCACTAACATAAATATGGGCACTCAAACAGATGCACACTTCCGTTTTCTCTGCAGTATACAAGCAACATTTTCAGTGACATTTGCCTTATTTAATCCCCACACTCCAGCTGGATGCATATTGTATTTACCTTCTATAACTAATTCATTATACTTACTGCTGCTTACAGTAATGACCAAAAATGTCACTGGGAATGCTTTGTACTCGCCTATATTAATACTTAAACTCTATTAGCCACCTAATTTATGTATTCTGAAATGCAAAGAAAACTTGGAGTTTCTCATCTGTCATTTATTTGGATACAGCTAAAATGCTTATTTAAAAGTCTGCTTAAAAGTCCTACAGATGTTGCAGAAAATATTTTATGCAAGTATCAGTTTTGTTCCTCATCTTATTTAACAGTTGTATGTCAAGTCATTATATATTACCATGAGCCTGGATAAACTTCTGTTCTACAATTACACTGTAGATTTACTGAACAGCACAAAGGAAAAGAAGTCTTCAAATGTTTTGCAAATTTTTTTTAAAGAAAGCAAAGAGCAAAGAAAAAAGGGAAAAAAAAAATCACAGCAAGCTACTTTCTCCAAATTAATTAGGAGATCACAGGCCACGCTGCTCCAAAGATGCAGTCTGTCTGCTTTATCTGATGCTTATCAGTGCCCTCAGCTAAGCAAGGTCACACCTGGTGACAGAAGCCAGAAGTCTCAGGAGTATCTGGGTACTCCAAGAGCTAGAAAATCACTTCTTCAGATAATGCCTGCCTAGCACTCAGCATACCATTAGCAGCTCCATTCAGGAAGCACCATCTTCCTGATGAAATGTAACAATTTGCTGTTTGTAAAAAATAGAAGCAGATCTGCTGCAGGAGGGAGTTCATACAATTGTTAGAGTTGCAAGGGACCCTTAAAGGCCATCTGGTCCAACCCGCCCTGCAATGAACAGGGGGATAACCACAGCTCCATCAGGAGCTCAGAGCACTGTCCAGCCTGACCTTGGGTGTTTCCAGGGCTGGGGCACCACCACCTCTCTAGGCAGCCTGTGCCAGTGCCTCACCACCCTTATTGTAATATATTTCTTCCTTATATCCTCTGTAATTCTCCTGTTCTGGTTTGAAGCCATTTTTTCTTGTCCTATCATAGAAGATCCTGCTAAACTATTCTTTTCTTTCTTACAGCCCCTTTCAATACTGACAGGCTGCTATGAGCCTTCTCTTCTCCAGGCTGCACAGGCCCAGCTCTCAGCCTGTCCTCACAGAGGTCTTCCATCTCTTGGATCAGGTTTGTGGCCCTTCTCTGGACACACCCCAACAGTTCCATGTCTCTCCTACACTGAGAATTCCCCATCTGGACGCAGCACTCCAGGTAAGGTCTCACAGAGCAGAGGGGCAGATCACCTCCCTGATGGCCACACTACTCTGAATGCAGGCAAGGATTGGTTGGCTTTCTGGGCTGTGAGGGCACAGTGCTGGCTGATGTCCAGCTTCCATCCACCAGCACCCTCAGTCCTTTTCAGCAGGGTCATGCTCTGCCTTATATCTCCCAGCTTGTACTGGTAGCGGGGACTACACCCCACAGAGATATGTGAAGAGCAGTTGCCAGTGAAGACTGGGGCAAAAAAGTTCTTCCTCAGCCTTCTACTTGCTTGCTGTTACCAACCTTCCTTATTGTTCACTAAGGGGAAATTTGCCTTCTTGGACTTAATAGCTTTGGAGAGCCTTATGTAGGATATAACATCCTACCTACTTTACAATCACACAGAAGATGTTTTAAGCAGAAAAAGTGCTCACTCCACTGACTGAAAAGTGTGTTAATTTGGCCATTGCCACAGAGGAATTAAGCCTCTCCCATGCTGCAAGGCCATGCATTCAGGTCCTGCAGATAAAGCAGCACTCCACAAGCACAAATTAGTAAATCAGAGCATGACACTGCTGAATCAGTGTTCTTCCTTGATCTGAGAAATCCTTTTAGCAAGCAATATCATAATTGACAAGACTAGTAGTAGCCAGAACAATTAGCATCACCTTCCTCCCATTATATTAAAAGTACAGCCTCCTAGCCAAACAGTCTAGTAGAGAGGTACCATAAGCAACCGTACCATACTGGAACAAAGATAAGGTGGGTTTTGAGCAGGGACTTCTCTTTCACACCTCAACTGCAGCCTGAGCTCAAGTGGCATGGCTGGTGCTACACCACTTTCACGATGCAAGAGAACGGAATCCTTCTGGATTTATGATACACTCTGGGCACAGCCCAGACTTCAGCGAGAGTCATTACAGGCAGGGCAGATACCACCTTTCTCTTCATAGTCATGAAATCAAGATTTGAGCTTCGTGACACCATACACTCAGATTCTGGCAATTAAACGCACCTTGCCCACAGCTACCTTACCACTGAAAGATGGACTGTCCCCTTCCAGTCCCCTGCTACATTTTCTAATTACATCAACCAGCAGAATACAAAGCAAACCAGTGTAGCATCCCCTGACCAAGCTCGCTGTTGGCAGGTCCCCTAGAAGCTGGGAGTTTTCACCCAGCCTAGTTGAGTCAGCTGGTTTGTTTGCACAGCACCACAGGCATGTGCAGCACCACCACACAGGATAAGCCTGGCAGCAGACCCCACCAAGGGCAAACAGCATGTGCTGAGCACAGCCACAGAATTCTTCAGACTAGAGATTTTCTCATTGCTGACTACTCAGAACAGTGAGAAGCTCCAGAGGCCACCAGCAGCATTTTCCATATCTTCCAAGCAGCAGAGGCAGGACAAGAAATAACACTTCACAAAGCCTCCCGCAGATCTTAAACACACCTGCAAGTACTTACCACAGGATCTAGAGCTGCAGGAGATCTTAGGAAGAAACACAAAACCATTACCTCTGCCAAAGGAGCCTGGCACTCGCTGTCACTGTGGCTGTCCCTATGAAAGCTGCCACCACAAGCTGACCCCGGGCCCTGGGATGATGTGCTGCCCCGTGGTAACGCCGCGAAGCAGCTGCCAGCCCTGCTGCGATGGGAAGAAGTCGAAGACGGAGCATGCTGTCAAGAAAGAAGAACGTGTTACCACAGGAATGCCTTCCAGTAGCAGACACTCGCACTGGCCCTCAGCACGACAGGAGAGGCCAACCAGCAGCATGCGTTGTCCTAAAATAGGAGAAGATGCATCAAGTAGCTGTCACAGTTGTTCGTTAGCTGCTCTGAAATAGGATTGTATCTTGTCTAAAAATCTGTCTAATAAACAGTCAACTACAAGAGTCGCATCTTGGCACACACTTGGCTAACACACACAGCTGTCACATCCTACTTAACTGCTCTTGCAGCATTTCTTGAATTCCTCTTCCACCTTTCCCCATCACATTTCATTACAAGGAAATACTTGTACACTCCTGCTTCAGTGCCAGGGCACAGAAGATACAGGGAGATCTTAAAAGCAACTGCAGCAAATGAATAAGAGCCATTTGACCAGAGGGAAAGACAGCTAGATACCAGAAAGCAAGTAAAAAAATCAAACAACAAGCAAACCAACCCAGCAAGAGAAACTTCAGCCATTTTGAACTTCCCTTCAAGACCTGCCATTCTTAAGCTCTTTTTCTTTTTAAGCTAGCTTCAAGCAAAACATTTATATTCAACTTTCAGTAGCAAGCAACTTTCAGTGTCAGCAATCATAAAATACAACCCCTATCCCATTATGTGCAACAGTATGGAGTTAAATGAGAAACCAGAACTACAAATCTAAACATTATTACAAAGTAGAAATTTGATCTACAAAAATGCCACCTAATAACAGGCACCAGCTACAGGAGTCAAACCAATTTTTGCCAGCTCACAAAACTGAAGGCTGAGGCCAAACGCTTGCTTCAAAAAGGGAAGTTGCTGCATTGCCTATTTTTTGGGGGGAAAGGAAGGTTTTACTTTTAACAGATGTAAATTCAGTCTCCTGATCACGGGGGGGGGGGGGTCAGCCCATGCATGACAAAGCACAGAGAGGCCTTGATTTAAAAAGAAGAAACTGGGAGTAAAACGTTAGAAGAATTCCCATGATCAGCAGAAAAACTGGAAATAGAAAGCTTGATTATTTTTGCTCCCCACTCTTGCTGTTCTGCTCCAATATTGCCAGCCAGTGAATAAAGAACAACAGAAGACAAAAATAAAATCACCTCTAGTGGTTTCTACTTGCTTTCACAACACAAGATGCTACCACACACTTTCACTAAAGCATCAACTTCCAACAATGAGAAACTTGGAAACACTCTGCACAAACACATCCTACATCCCAGCTGCAAAGAGTAGGATGTATTACTTGTCCTCCAGTGAAGGCAACCTGCAGCTCAGAGTGCCAGAAGATGACCTAGTGATGCAAACACAGGGAGGAGAAGAGGAGGGATGCAAGATAAACCCCATAACCCCACCAAATATTCAGCAGACAATTAGGAACACTGTTCCTCTTAAGGCAAAAGGTGATAAAAGTGCATTCAATGGCTTTATAGAATCAAAGCTCACTTGGTGAGGGGAGGGAAAACAAAGATGGGCAGACAGCAGCTGCAGCAGCCTGCCCCACCGCTCCATGCTGCTGTATGTGCAAAGAACCACAACCCTGCTTCTCACAGCCAGCATACCTGAAAGGCACTGCATTTATATTCATCTGTGCACATAAAGAAAACTAAGTTTGCAGTCAGCATTACCATTTTGTTTATTCCTTTAAAAATACATAGACTTAAAATTAAAGTCTTAATGGAATTCAGAAAGTCAACATGGCTTATTCCTCAATCCTCTCCAGCACAGAGCAAGAGAATATTTTGCTATGAAAAATAGCTCTTATTTCAAATTGTTTTCATCCTACACAAACCTGATGCTTCTATTTCTTCTCTAGGGATGAATTTCTTACACATTCCTTAAACAGGCAGAGAAAAATCCACATGGGGTGTTTTCACAGAGAAGCTAATATTGCCCTTGTTTGGGTTCCCCTTACTAATTACAGCTCTACATGCATAAGATGTAATGGGGAATGGAAGTACTGCCAATATCATTTAATCATTAAAAAAGGAAAAATCACGTGCTTACTCCGGAGCTCGGAAAGATCTTACATTTCCCTTCGCCACCTTCAGTGATGCGTAAGCCAACCCTGAGCCCTAAGAAGCTCGAAGTTACCAGCTCTGCCCAACTAATCCCTGCTCCTGATGGTACAGGGACACTCACCCAGGAAGCATTTCCTTGATAGCAATTAGCTGGGTGTTGAAAGCATGCAGTTCCTCTCAATCCTAAAACAAAGAACATGCTTAGTTTAAAACAACAACAAAACCTTGGAGGCTGAGTTTTCCATGCTTTCCATCTGTGATTTTACTTTTTTTTTTAACCTCCAGTGCCATGCTATTTGGTACGTTTTGTTGAAAGCTCCAAGCATTTAAGCCAAGATCAGTTGGTGTTTTTAAGAGAGATTTAAAAATAAGCATCTTGCCCTGACTGCAGCAACCAGAAGCTCAATACCATGACCTCCAGTTGAGTAGGAACTAACCTTAGCAGCTTTACAGCTCCTAAGATCTGACGTGGTTATTGCTTACCCTAGGAATCGGGTCGATTTCTGCATGACTGAACGCAATTAATCTTTTTTCATACAGATACAGACACAAGTCTTCACCTGAAAATAACAGAAAGAGACCAGACAAGTTCTCTTGATGTTCCAGCCATCTGCCCAACAGATTACTGCTACCATCAATCTGTAGACTATAAGTTTGTAAGAGAGAACCCAGTTTCACCTGAAGTTCTTGCTCAGCAGAACTCTACAGATACTTTCAGAGCTTAGAATGTGTCCCAGCTACAGACAGCTGTCACCCAGCAAGCAGGAGGGGGCTCAGGGTGCCACTCTACAGACATGTGATATTGCTGGCAAGTTGAAGACAACTAAACCTTCATACAAGTGTAATTAACAATAAACGTGTTGATGTCTGACATCTTGGAAACCCACAAACACATCAGGAAAGCACCACTTCAAGGCAGGAAGCAACAGGCTCAAACGTAGGCTGAGCAGATATCTTTAAAAACAAAAATTTTAACAGCTACGCACACCCTTGCTTGATGTGAATGTTTACTTTCTACTAGCAGAACTCTCTGCTAGTGTGTTCTGCAACAAAATTCAGATAGGTTCTCTGCCTTCCCCCTCATGCCACATCCACAGCACCAGCAGTGCAGCCCTGGGTCTTTCAGAGCACGTAAGAACCAGCAGATGTCACCTCTTTCATATTTCTCTCAGCTACCAAGGAGAATGAAAAGACTTGTTCCCACTTTTCCAGTGCCCTATTTAGCTGATGGTTTTGAGACTGAAGGCCCAGCTTGGGGAGGAGGGACTTCTTTACATTTGGGTACCCCATAGAACTGAAGGCAGTCTTTGACAGCCCAGAGCAGCCCCCATTTTCAGGACAGAACACGCTTAAAACAGCTTTTTGACGTCAAAGCTGGCCTCAGTGCAGGCATGTGAGATGAAGAACAGTAACTGAATAAGCTGATGAATGTTTAATTTTTAATCAGAAGGGTTCACAGACTTTTTTGAACAATTTTATTAGGATATGGCAAGCTTGCACATGAGTGCAGAACATCAATTGTAAATATTAAGCACCAAGATCTTAGATTGACATTTATGAGTCATTGCTTGGGCATCAAGTCTGCAGGGATTGGCAGAGGTGTTCTCACTGAAAGAACCTTCTGAAGCCATTTGAATATTAAAATAACAAAGTTGGACATCGCCAGAATACCAAGACAGCCCAACACAGCAAAGCTCCTCACGTATTCCATCTCAGATGCTGGCCATTCTACCACATGAAAATGGCCAGTGCGTTTCCCAGAGTAAACACAGGACAGCAAAGCACAGAGCTGCTCATAGTTCGGAGGCATTTTGCCATACTTAGTGCTAACAGCCACAAGAGACATTAAAAATCTTCCCTTACTTGTTCCAGCATAGATATGGCTCTGACAAGGTCAGGGATGCTGATTATGGGCAAGCTTAGCTGTTGTTTTTCAAGACTGCTAGTCAGCACACATCACAAGGATCAGCAGCACTGCCTTCCATCACCAAAGGCAGCTGTCAAGGAGGGCCCTCAAGCTATGGGACAGCCAGGTGGGATGGGCAATCCCCAGAAGCTGCATTAATCCATTTAAAGTTTGAGACCACAAAAGTCATAACATGAGCAAGCTAGCTTGAAATACTTGAAAAAACCTGCCTCCACCAAAACCAAGAGAGCAGTATTTATTTTAGCAGGAAAATCAGACACAGAAAAACCCCTTGGATACAGAACACCACTCAAGCTGAAGGCATGGTACTTGACTGAGCTCAGTTAACTAGCTCAGTATTTCAGCAGTAGGTCTAAGCCACAGCTTTTTCAAAAACCACATTTGCACATGCACATCTCACACTTATTAATGAACACTGCATACCATGAAATCAGACCAAAGACAAGTAATTAATTTGGATTCTCCTGCCAACAATTCCCGCCATACTTTCAATTTCCAATCTAGCATAACTGAGAGGTTTGTACCAGTGTAATTCACTGAAAGGTGGGCCAAAGGTGAACTGCAACTGCAAAGCAGCACGAATCCATTTCTTCCCCCTCCCCAAAAGAGACCAAACTGCTCCTGCCTTTTCCTTCTTCTAACTCTCAATTTTCAGTTTACTTTCTGTAATTTCCAGATAAAGGATTACTCGCATTAGTGAAATTATTAGCTTACAAAGACACATAAATCAGTTATGAGAAGGAAGATGAAATCTAATAGCAAAAGCAATTTCTTCTGAGAGATGGGTTTAGGGTAATGCTCGATAGCATTCATTACCAGAGAGGGGAGCTACATGTGCTTCAGAGCACTATTCAGACTGATTGATAGCCTATAAAGCACCAATCTATAACACAGCCAGGTCTTCAGCAGAAACCTAAGCCACTGCTTGGCGATTTCTTTTTAACTGTCATTACAGCAAGGGTGCACCTCTTCCTGAACAGCTCAGCCCTGAAAATGAACTAGTCAAAAAACAAATAAATCACATAGTCTGAGCCCAA